CAACATGTCCAAAGTATGTTAGACAGAGCCTCAGAATCCTTGCCTCCAAGGAGCCACCCGGTTTAACCCTTTCCAGGATGAATCTGTTTGTTTTCCTGAGGATGGTGCAGCATATAAAAGGGTTCAGATCTTTTGTTCATAGGATCGCTATGAGTTGTACTCAACTTGATGGCATCTAATAACATCAATACACACACACTCATACATATAAACCCAAATATATATATATATAAACTGCATGGCTAAAAAAGCATGGCAGGGATTTCTCCTTTTCCATAACTTTTTTTTTCCTTTTCCATAACTTTTCAATCTATATGTGGAAGAGATCATTTTGGAGGCTGGACTTTATGGGGAGAAATGCAGCATTAGGATTGGAGGAAGATTAATTAAAAAAACCTGTCATATGTAGATGACACACCTTGTTTGCCAAAACTAAGGAAGACCTGAAGTGTTTGCTGCAGAAGGGCAAGGACTGAAGTCTTCAGTATGGATTGAAGCTCAAGATCAAGCAAACAAAGATTATCACCACTGGGCCAATTGACAGCGTCAAGATTGAAGAATAGATTGAAACTCTTAGCAATTTCATCTGGTTCAGATCCATAATCAACACTCTTGGCAACAGCAGTCAGGAATTTAAAAGATCAGTTACAATGGGAAAGTTGGCTGTCAGGGACTTCTCCAGAATGCTGAAGAGTAACAATGTCAGTCTTGAAATTAAGGTGCACCTGTTTCAGATCATTGTCTTTGCAATTACTTGCTATGCATCAAAGAGCTGGGCAATGACTAAGGATGACAGAAGAAGAATCAATGCTTTTGAGTTGTGGTGCTGGATGGTATTAAGCACATCATTAACTGCCAAGAGAACAAACAGGTCCATATTAGAAAGGATGAAACCAATTTTTTTGTTAGAGGCAAGGATTTTGAAACTCCATCTCATACACTTTGGGCATGCATCCAGGAGCGACCACTCCTTGGAGAAGGACATTATGCTTGGAAGGGTGGAGGGTCAGCGTAGTTAAGGAAAACCATGGATGCGATGGATTGACACAGTGAGTGTGGTAACTGGGAAAGGGATATCAGAGATCATAAAATTGGCTCAGGGAGGGCAGGATTCAGAGCTATTAAAGGGTTGCTATGAGGTGTAGTCAACTCAATGACATATAACAACAACAACAATTTATATGAGTGTCTCTTGAGTATTTCCATTTTTACTACTAATGAGATAATCGCACTTATCTATATATAGCACTTTAAAAGTAATAGTTTCTAGTGAATAATACAATTCTCCTGAGTCCTCAAATTATCAATATAATCAAGCTGATTAAATATTGATTGAGATAAATAATACTAATTGGGAACCAATTATGTATTGGGACTACAAATAGCACCAAATATACGAGTATGAGTATGATCAAGTTTTCCATGTTCTTAAGAAGTATATAGTCTAACGAGAACGAAAAATATGAAAACCTCGTGTTTAAATACAATACAGAAATAACAAAAATAATAAAGCTGTAATAGCATGTGTGCATGCACAAAGGGATAACTACATAGTATTATGGCAGTAGAAAATGGGAAAATAAGTCTACAAGGAGATATTCACAATGCATATTAAAAGTAGAATAGAAGGTAGGCAAACCAGAGAAGAGAGAAAAGAAACAGCAGAGCAGAGTGTCAAAACACAAGCAGTTCAGCATTCCTGGATATAAACTTCAAAATAACAAGTGGTAATAGGTAAAGGTGAAGAGGTTAGCAGTACTAAGATATTTCAAAAGTTAATATGTATTATCATGAGCACGACTATTATACAATACACACACACAATGTAGAGGCACAGACGGAGTGTAACAGCAGAAGTGGCAACTATCGCACAGGAGTGGTGGGAATAGCAGAGATGAAAGTGAACCACAGAGTAGTATGACATAGGACTGTGGGCTCAGAGCTCATGGAGCAAGAAAGCTGAGGACATGCGGACAACACATAACTTCTTACACCCTAGAACTTTCTATGTAGTACATTATTTTCTATGTAGTACATTCTTACTGTTGTTTTTATGGACAATTGAGTCTAAATTAATTTATAGCAGACCGTGCAGTGAGTCTCCAGACCCTGCACATTGTACACAGCAAACTGCCAATCTTTCTCCTATAGTGCAGCTAATAGTTTTGAGTAGCCTTCCTTTGGGTTGGCAATACAATTCCTTACCAATACGTCACCTGAATCTCTATGCAGTAGATTGCTGTTATTGTTGCTGCTAGTACCATCAAATTGGAACTGACACAGAGTTGACTCTCCCATAGGTTTTCAGAGATAGCAAGTCACAAGCAAGTGACCACCTTTCCCCCACAGAACAGCTGGTGGATTTCAACTGTATACTTTTGCACGGAAGGGCAATTCCTTCTCACTAAGCCACCAGAGTCCCACATGCAGGAGATTGTTGTTGTTGCTATTGTTAGGTGCCATCAAATCAAGTATTACTCACAGCATTCTTATGAATAACAAATCCAAACCCTATTCTATCCTGTGCCATTCTCACAATTTCTGACATACTACAGTCCAATGCTACAGTCACTATGTCAATTCATCTAATTGAGGGTCTTCAATCTCTTTTGCTGATTCTCTACCTTCATAAACATGATGACCTTCTCAAAGGAATAGCCCATCCCAGCAACATGCCCAAAATATGTGTCGTCTTTGCCTCCAAGGAACACTATGGCTGCGCCTTCTCCAAACATATGTTTGTTCTTTTGATATTCTACGGTATCTCCAGTACTCTTCTCCAATACCACAACATAAAGTCATCAGTTCTTCTTATGCCATCCTTATTCATTCATTGTCCAACTCTCAGATGCATAGCAATACTATAGCCTGAATCAGGGACATCTTAGTCCTCAAAATGACATCATTGCTCCTCAGTAATTTGGAGAGTTTTGTGACTGCAGGCTTTTCCTGTGCAATACATTTTCAGTGTAGTAGATTAGAACTTCTAAGTTAGTTCTTATTTTATTTTCTCTGATGATCTTTATGCCTTTATGTTTTACAATAAGAATTTTGATCCACCTTAGGTCAGTTTTGGTATGAAGTATGAATTTTATATCTGCTTTCTGCAAACCTAGTTTTGCAAGCATCATTCTGGTGCTATCTGCTTTCAGCCAAGATCCATCGGACATTGGCAATGGTATACCTAGTGCTATGGCTTTTTCTGAATCCAGTTTGAGTTTCTGGAAGTTCTCTGTCAATGCACTGTTCAGTTATTTTTTTTATAATCTTCAATAAGATATTACTTGCATGTGATAATGGTAATAATGTTCTATAATTTCTACATTTTATTGATCACCTTTTTGTCAAGTGGGAATAAATATAGAACTCTTGAGTCAGATCGGCAGGCAGATGCCCTCCAGATTTCTTGGAACAACTTGGTGAGTGCATCCAGGGTTTAATCTATTAGTCAAAGTATGTCAATTGGTATTACATCAATTTCTGGGGCCTATCTTTCAAAGCAATTTGTACTTCCTCCTTTCTTACCATTGGTTGTTGATCATATACTATTTCATTCAATTTCTGTATCATCCACTTCTTTTTAGTACAGTGACTGTGTATTCTTTCAATCTTCTTTTGATGTTACCTGGATCATTCACTATTCTGCCAATAACATCTGTAAGTATTGCAACTCAAGGCTTGGATTTGCTCTTTAGTTCCTTTAAATTGAGAAATATAAAAAGAGTTCGTCCTAACCTGCACTTTTTAACTTTCCTAATATGGTTCGGTGTGGTCTATGAGATGTTTCAATAGATTTTGGACCATAATGCAGTAGATTTGATGTTTAGAAGAATAAAAAGAAATACAGGAGCATAGGGGACATGTCTGACTTCATGAGAATTGGTTTTTTGTTGCTGATATTGATGGAGACAGTTTTTCATTGTGGAGCTGGCAAAGGCCCCCAAGTGGTCCTTGCTCTTTTTATAGTATAGTGTGTCTGGTTAGATTTTTTTTTTTTTTGTGGATGGCTGTTGTAATTGTTATTAGTTTCCTTATTTCCTTTTCAGAGTTCTTATTTTCACTGTAGAGAACCACCCAATTTTTGTATATTAACCCTGTATCATGATACTTTGCCTAATTGGTACATTTGGTACAGCACTTTTCTTGATGATTTTTTGAAATTTTCTATGTATAATATTTTAAAATTTGCAAATAGAGATATTTTTACTTCTCTTTGATAAACTAAATGCTTCTTATTTTCTTTTTTTCTCTTACTGCTTTACCTAGAACTTCCAATTTTGAATGAGAGTGGTGAAACCAATCATCCTTGTCTGGTCTCTTTTCACAAGGGAGTATCTTTA